CAATATTGTACCAGATATATCATCACTAACTGGAGAACATTATAACATATATGTGGCGACGGCCTACAGAACAATATTGTACCAGATATATCATCACTAACTGGAGAACATTATAACATATATGTGGCGACGGCCTACAGACAATATTGTAACAGATATATCATGACTAACTGTAGAACATTATAACATATATGTGGCGACGGCCTACAGACAATATTGTACCAGATATATCATGACTAAATGTAGAACATTATAACATATATGTGGCGACGGCCTACAGACAATATTGTACCAGATATATCATGACTAACTGTAGAACATTATAACATATATGTGGCGACGGCCTACAGACAATATTGTACCAGATATATCATGACTAACTGTAGAACATTATAACATATATGTGGCGACGGCCTACAGACAATATTGACGGCCTACAGACAATATTGTAACAGATATATCATCACTAACTGTAGAACATTATAACATATATGTGGCGACGGCCTACAGACAATATTGTACCAGATATATCATGACTAAATGTAGAACATTATAACATATATGTGGCGACGGCCTACAGACAATATTGTACCAGATATATCATGACTAAATGTAGAACATTATAACATATATGTGGCGACGGCCTACAGACAATATTGTACCAGATATATCATGACTAACTGTAGAACATTATAACATATATGTGGCGACGGGCTACAGACAATATTGTACCAGATATATCATGACTAACTGTAGAACATTATAACATATATGTGGCGACGGGCTACAGACAATATTGTACCAGATATATATGACTAACTGGAGAACATTATAACATATATGTGGCGACGGGCTACAGACAATATTGTAACAGATATATCATGACTAACTGTAGAACATTATAACATATATGTGGCGACGGCCTACAGACAATATTGTAACAGCTATATCATGACTAACTCTAGAACATTATAACATATATGTGGCGACGGCCTACAGACAATATTGTATCAGATATATCGTGACAAATTGGAGAACAATTTAACATTTATGTGGCGACGGCCTACAGACAATATTGTACCAGATATATCATGACTAAATGTAGAACATTATAACATATATGTGGCGACGGCCTACAGACAATATTGTACCAGATATATCATGACAAAACATGTAAGAACATTATAACATTTATATATATGTGGCGACGGCCTACAGACAATATTGTACCAGATATATCATGACTAACTGACTAACTGAGAACATTTCAACATATATATGTGGCGACGGCCTACAGACAATATTGTACCAGATATATCATGACTAACTGTAGAACATTATAACATATATGTGGCGACGGCCTACAGATAATATTGTACCAGATATATCATGACTAGAACATTTGTAGAACATTATAACATATATTATACAGACAATATTATACCAGATATATCATGACTAACTGGAGAACATTATAACATACATGTGGCGACGGGCTACAGACAATATTGTACCAGATATATCATGACTAACTGTAGAACATTATAACATATATGTGGCGACGGCCACAGACAATATACCAGACATATCATGACTACTGTAGAAGATATAACATACATGTGGCGACGGGCTAACTACCAGACATTATAACATAGAACATGTGGCGACGGGCCTACAGACAATATACCAGATATATCACAAAACGTGTTGACAGATATAACCGGTATAACGGTATAAAATATATGACTCGGTAGGTATTTCTACTACTTTGATCTCTACCAGTTATAAAGTCAAGTTCTACCAGTTATATTTTCTAACATAGGGAAATGGGTCGTAAAGCCATTTCTGGTGTCCCCAGCCGTGATATTGCTGGAATATTGCTAAAAGCGACGTAAAACTAAACTCAGTCAGTCAGTCAGTTTATTTTCAAATGGGGAAAAGATCATTAGTTTCAAAGGTTTCACTTTGGTTAAATGTTCATTAGTCAGTTGCAGTTTGACAAGGCTTTCTGTACTCGCCAGGAAAACGCCAGGACACTTGAAATGTCTAAACGTATTTGTATTTTATATAAAACAACCTAATGGTAATATGTGAGCCACATTCGAAACAGACTACAGTGACATTCGATATTCTCCTGAATGTTTTATTTCCCTTCATTGAACCACGTATGTCCGCCGTCACTTCCAGTCCAATCGTTTGCGGCCTGGTCACTTTTAGAGGAGGGGCAAGATAAGTAATTAACTTGGAACTATCCCTCTATTCATGACAGCCACATTTCTAACGGTATTGAGAACCAAAGCACTCACAAAACACTTGAAGGCTTTATCCTATGCCATATTTCTTCATACGTGTGAAATTTAGTCTCTCCCTAGTCTAATGACGTCACATAAGTAGATGTGACTGACGGTGCATATTGTTCGTGACGTCGCACCTGCTTTTGCGTCAATACAGTTTCTCTGTCAGTTTACTGATTCCGTTCTTGAGACGTTTTGATGCCGCCTATCCTGACTGCATCGTATTTGATAAAATGCGTATTCAACAGTCATGTGTCTCCTGATGCCATAAAATAAACCCCCTTGTGCTCTTGTTCTGCAAATAGAGACATAGGGAAATAGAGAGATACGAATATACGACGGTACGAAGATACGGAGATACGAAGATACGGAGATACAGAAATACAGCAACACGGAGATACGGAAATACAGAAATACAGTTATACGGAGATACGTAGATACAGAAATGTATACATTAATACACAGATACGGAGATACGGAGATACAGAGATACAGAAATACAGCAATATAGTGATACGGAGATACAGAGATACGGAGATACAGAAATACAGCAATATATCGATACGGAGATACAGAGATACGGAGATACAGAGATACGGAGATACAGAAATACAGCAATATAGTGATACGGAGATACAGAGATACGGAGATACAAAAATACAGTAATACAAGATGCGGATATACAGAAATACAGAAATGCAGAAATGCAGAAACACAGAAATGCAGAAATACAGAGATACAGAGATACAGAAATGCAGAAATACAGAGATCTATACGGAAATACAGAGACACAGAAATCCAGAAGTTCAGAGCTACGGAGAAAAAGACATGCAGTAGTACAGACATGGAGACACACAGACACTAGAACCAGAAGCACACCAACACAAGTACACATAACAACCCACTCAGCATGGGGTCAGGGGGCATGAGGATGGCGGCTCAGGGTTATCACCATTTAGGGACCTTCCATTTCATGTTTATGAGGGGACAGGAACTTCTTTAAACAATAGTCAAGCCCCTGTTTTGTTGAAACAAAGTACCCATTTCTTGCAAATGAGGCGCTGCAATGGATAATCTGGAAGGCAGTTGTTTCATTAAGAACCCTGATAGTAGAGCCTCATAACAGAATATGATGATCTTAAACTCACATTTCCCCACCCTCCCCAAGAATCCAAGAGTATCCATACATTATGTCTGCTCATGAGTTATTTCCTAATTATGCTGATTGTTCCTCTTGTTTCTTAATCAGCAATTTAGACTGGTTGGCATTTGGAAAAGAGGTGTTACTAATATCTCAATGATCAAATTAATGTGTTCGATTTCTCCATATTCGAAAACAATTCGTTAGAACTCGTGCTGGACACCCACTAACATACAAGCATATTGCTCATCAGGATTACTTCCCTTGATCTCGGGGCCATGAGGTCATCTCGGCGAGAACTGGCCATAATGCGAGATTAGTTATCGTTGATGGGCAATCTTGTGTTTAATGCTTAGTTTATCACATGACAATAATTCTATTGAGTTGCTCATGTCCCCTGTGTGGTGTGGGTAGCGAGGCGGGGGACAGGCACGTACTCCGCGGAAACCCTACGCGCGGAATAAACACGAGCATTTGACACATTATTTGGAAATCTTAAACACCCAAAGACATGATTTACGTTAATCTTATTTTTTGTTAAGTGAAAAGCAAAGGTTACGCACAATGAATTAGATATGAAGTTTGGTCGGCCTAGTCGCAACCTTATGATAACAACAGCCGCGGCTCTGTAACAATACTTCCCCCCTCGGCCGATGACTGAGCACGGCTCGCCGTTACCCACACTGACGCCCATTTAATTATTATTTCAAATTAAATAACATGATACCCATAAGTGAAACGCAAAACGCCACCTTAAGGTACGGACAAACACTATAATCGTATCTAAGGGCACGCTATACCGGCGCTTCAAGAAATGCTTCCTTTGAAAAATATTTGTACATTTTTTCCGGCGAAGATGACAAAAGGCTGTTCAGTTCGTAGGCAAACCCGAGATTATCCGAATGACTATCAGCTGACAAACGGTCAACAAAGGCTACAACCTACCTCACAGGGAGATACACACAAGCTACAACCAACCTCACAGGGAGATACACACAACCTACAACCTACCTCACAGGGAGATACACACAAGCTACAACCTACCTCACAGGGAGATACACACAAGCTACAACCTACCTCACAGGGAGATACACACAAGCTACAACCTACCTCACAGGGAGATACACACAAGCTACAACCTACCTCACAGGGAGATACACACAAGCTACAACCAACCTCACAGGGAGATACAAACAAGCTACAACCAACCCCAGGGAGATACACAGGTAGATACACACAAGCTACAACCTACAACCTACCTCACAGGGAGATATACATGCAACTACATCCCACACAGGAGATACACATAAACTACAACCCTACACTCACAGGGAGAGCTACAAGCCACCTCACAGGGAGATACACACAAGCTACAACCTACCTCACAGGGAGATACACACAAGCTACAACCTACCTCACAGGGAGATACACACAAGCTACAAACCTACCTCACAGGGAGATACACACCAGCTACAACCTACCTCACAGGGAGATACACACCAATAATAACCCACCTCACACGGAGATACACACCGGCTACAACCCATCTCACAGGGGAGATCTACATGGAGATACACACCGGCTACAACTGGCTACCCATCTCACAGGGAGATACACACCGGCTACAACCTACCTCACAGGGAGATACACACAAGCTACAACTACAACCTCTACCTCACAGGGAGATACACACCGGCTACAATCTACCTCACATGGAGATACACACCGGCTACAACCCAACCTACCTCACAGGAGGAGATACACACCGGCTACAACCTACATCTCACAGGGAGATACACACCGGCTACAACCTACCTCACATGGAGATACACACCGGCTACAACCTACCTCACAGGGAGATACACACCGGCTACAACCTACCTCACACGGAGATACACACCGGCTACAACCCACCTCACAGGGAGATACACACCGGCTACAACCTACCTCACACATGGAGATATACACACATGGAGATACACACCGGCTACAACCCACCTCACACGGAGATACACACCGGCTACAACCTACCTCACACGGAGATATACACCAATAATAACCCACCTCACACGGAGATACACACCGGCTACAACCCACCTCACACGGAGATACACACCGGCTACAACCTACCTCACAGGGAGATACACACCGGCTACAACCTACCTCACACGGAGATATACACCTAATACAACCTACCTCACACGGAGATACACTCACACGGAGATACAACAAGCTACAACCTCACACGGAGATATACACCGGCTACAACCTACCTCACACGGAGATACACCAATACAACCCACCTCACACGGATACAACCAACCACCTCACACGGAGATACACACCGGCTACAACCTACCTCACACGGAGATACACACCGGCTACAACCTACCTCACACGGAGATACACACCGGCTACAACCTACCTCACACGGAGATACACACCGGCTACAACCTATCTCACGGAGATACACACCGGCTACAACCTACCTCACAGGGAGATACACACCAGCTACAACCTACCTCACACGGAGATACACACCGGCTACAACCTACCTCACACGGAGATACACACCGGCTACAACCTATCTCACACGGAGATACACACCGGCTACAACCTACCTCACAGGGAGATACACACCGGCTACAACCTATCTCACACGGAGATACACACCGGCTACAACCCACCTCACAGGGAGATACACACTGCTAAGTTTGTTTGTTTCATTGATGTCGGTTTTGTTGTGTTTATAATTGCTGATGCTCTTCATCGGGTAACCTGAAAATGGGAATGGAATATGTCCATTGTTGGCAAAAACAACATAATTCTAGCCATGATATCCCCCAAACCCTCCCCCAGTACGATCGTCCCACATCTGCTTCTACAACCATCCCAGAACGTATGTATAAATTCCTTTGTCTTCCTACCCTAGAACTGGAGCTATTGAGAGGTCTCTGGAACAACGAACGTTCGTACAGCCCACTTTATATATGACGTCACCATGATGTATCATATCCATGGCGATATGTTGGGTGACTTATGGCAACTACACCAGTGGCGACGTGGATACGACAACGGCAGAGAGAACATCGGCGGTGTCGTATCTCGGACAGGGGGCAGTCCAGGAGAGGGACAGACGCAGTGCATGTGCTCTTGTGTTCCGGATTACTCCCGTGTCGACATACGTTCCACATTGAAGCGCGTTACATGCACGTGCACATCACGAGCGCTTTACAAAATACACGTGCAAAAGGCTATGTGACGCTATTTGGAAATATGTCGGGCGAGTCACGCCGCCTGCAGCATATGGCGGCCACGCGGGGACGTTACTGACTCACGTGTCGAAATCACCTTAGAATTTTACCATGGCCGGTTTTCAATGAAACCGTGAACCAAATAATTAAGGTAAAATGAAAAGGAACTGTGATTCTACCTGGGAATAAAGATATTGAGCTGCCTTTGTGACGCGTCGTGTCCAGGTATTGTATAGAAACTAAAGTACCGTCAACTCCCTCTCGCGGCCAACTTCCACCTCGCGATGCGCTCGCTTTGTTGAACAGGAAGTTGTAAATATCCTTGCATCGCTCACAAATAGTATTAGATAATTACCTCATTTCAGAACAGAATTCAAGTCCTAATCGCAACCGTTTGTTATCCAGATATTCTGCGTATTAAGTTGTCAGCACTGAACCGTGTAGGTGCGACTGTTGGCGGGGCCGCTCGCCCTTCTACACCGCCACACAGTGACGTTACCGTCACACAATGTATGTTATTGTCATGTCAGAATTATTCCCAATCAACAATCATATAAAACTCGTCTTGTTTATCTTTTTAAAGTTAAAATAGAAGCCTAATGGAACTGTTGGTGAGAAATAAAGTGACGTAGCACCAAATTGTCTGCATGAAAAGAGGAATGGGGCTTAATCCATGACCTTAAGTTTGTATTTTTTCCAGGCAAACATATCGTGTTAGAACAACCTAACTAACGTTTATTACATATCTTTACCTTCCTGGCGTGTTTCTTCTGACATATAAAAAGAGATTAGACAAATCGACACCTTCTCCTCGTTTCCATGGTTACATGGTCAACATGCATATTCATTCCCTGCCATATTCCAAATAGTCACTGGGGCTGGTTCTGGGAACTTTAATATCATAATGAATACAGCGAGTGAGAGCTTGATCATACTCTTTGAATATCTTCAGTGTCTGCCTGTATCGCCATTGTTCAACCCCCAAACAGTGTCTGAATGTATCACCATTGCTCAACAACCACCCGGTGTCTGCCTGTATTACCATTGTTCAACCCCCAAACAGTGTCTTCCCAGGCTTTGATCTTGATTAACTGCAAACGTGAAGTGGACACAAATGTCGATTTTGGTCCAATTAGATTCCACTGTTGTTTAACCACCATTTGTAAGTGTGAGCTGAAGTAGTTCAATATTTAGGCATTGATCTTTCATATTGACTCTGCACACAGAGCTAACAAATAGAAGCTTTTGTATGTAAAACAGCCAGAAAGAACTCTGCATCCGAAACCCCAAGGTACAACCCCACATACAGCAGACTGACCTGTAACACAGACACGGACACGGACATAGACACAGAACGGACATACACACAGACACACAGACAGACAGACATACACAGACAGACATACACAGACACAGACAGACAGGCATACACAGACATACATACACAGACAGACAGACACAGACAGACTGGCAGACATAGACACGTACAGACACAGACGGACAAAGACACACACAGACAGACAGACAGACATACACAGACAGACACAGCCACACTCTCACACAGACACACTCACGCAGACAGACACGGACATAGACACAGACACGGACATAGACAGAGACAGACACGGACAGACACAGACACACTCACACAGACAGACAGACACAGACAGACATAGACTCAGACACACTCACATAGACACCGACAAATACATCCGCACAGACAGACACAGACCGGGACACACACGTACACACACAAACACAGACACACTCACACCGACAGACAGGCAGACATACACACACAGACAGACACAGACCGGGACACACACGGACAGACACACACACACACACACACACACAGGAATTAGTGTGAGAACGCCAGTGCCACTTTTAATACCATCAAACTCCCCTAACGTCATAGCAGTATCTTCCTAACGTCTGTATCCCTTTAACGTCAGTACCCGTCAAACTGTCCCTCAAACGTGTGGTTCCCCTTGTCCATACGGTGAAAGCCATGGGTGACCGTGTTTACAAGCGGCCCCTGATACGCTGATATAAGGCTATCACATAGTTTCTGTTTCTTTTAATCTTTAATTTCAATCGTATAAAACTGTTGACAGTGAGGGTGAGTTAGAAAGCGATCTACATAATATATTGAAGAGGGTATTGAATGGTTAACTAGAAGGGCGGTCTGTGTGGCCACCCCGGCGGCTGGCCGGGTTGAGGGGATGGGGCGCTAGGGTGGGGGAGCCGGGTCGGATGTGTTGACACAGCATCAGATGCGACCCTCGGGAAGGGGGGCTAATATTGAACCGGAGCTCGCTGTCTGTAAGCTCTAAAGCAGGGATCATTTTATCAAGAGCAAACGAAGATAATATTTATTCTTCTTTTCAATAGTGAGCTGGCTCGGTGGCAACAAAATGTCCATTGAATGTTCCCTCGGCTGCTGTGGCGGATATTTGTCGAACGTGCAGATCAGTAATACAACATAAACACTGTCCCTTAGCTTGAAGGAGGCCCCGAGAGGGGATCTATAGCGCCTTGCCATACGGGCCCTGCTAAACGTTGTCGGATCAGAGACCAGGGACAATTAGAACTGCCCTGGGCGTCATTAGGCGAGAATACACGATGTGTGCCGACTGCACGGCTTAGGACGCTCTCCCTTTGAAGCGGGTTTGTCCGCCAAATTATACCCCAATAACACACCCATGACAAAATATATCTCAACAACACGCTCACGACAGCATATGCATGCGAAATGTCGACTGACGGACATCTCCCATACCTAACATACAGACCCTTGATGTTCACAATATGACGTAGTGATGATGATGATGATGATGATGATGATGATGATGATGATGATGATGATGATGATGATGATGATAACAGACAAATCAAACACGTTTAATCACCGTACACGTATGAGGAGAGTTTATGTTGGTCTGGACGTTACCCGTATACGTGTATCAGGACAGTTTATGTAGGTCTAGACGTTGACCGTATACGTGTATGCAGAGATTGTATGCGGATCTGAACGTTGACCGCGTACGTCTACGGAGAGATTGTATGTAGGTCTGAACGTTGAGTGTATGGATAGGCTGTATGTTGGTCTAAACGTTGACCGTATGGAGAGAGGATGTATGTTGGTCTGAACGTTGACCGTATAGAGAGGCTGTATGTTGGTCTGAACGTTGACCGTATAGAGAGGCTGTATGTTGGTCCGAACGTTGACCGTATGGAGAGGCTGTATGTTGGTCTGAACGTTGACCGTATAGAGAGGCTGTATGTTGGTCCGAACGTTGACCGTATGGAGAGACTATATGTTGGTTTGAACGTTGACCGTATAGAGAGTATGTCTGTTGGTCTAAACGTTGACCGTATAGAGTGGCTGTATGTTGGTCTGAACGTTGATCGTATGGAGAGGATGTATGTTGGTCCGAACGTTGACCGTATGGAGAGGCTGTATGTTGGTCTGAACGTTGACCGTATAGAGAGGATGTATGTTGGTCCGAACGTTGACCGTATGGAGAGACTGTATGTTGGTCTGAACGATGACCGTATAGAGAGAGGATGCATGTTGGTGCAAACGTTGGCCGTATGGAGAGGATGTATGTTGGTCTGAACGTTGACCGTATAGAGAGGATGTATGTTGGTCTGAACGTTGACCGTATGGAGAGGATGTATGTTGGTCTGAACGTTGGCCGTATAGAAAGGATGTATGTTGGTCTGATCTGAACGTTGACCGTATAGAAAGGATGTATGTTGGTCTGAACGTTGACTGTACGAAGAGGTTGTATGTTGGTCTGAACGTTGACCGTATAGAAAGGATGCATGTTGGTCTGAACGTTGACCGTATGAAGAGGCTGTATGTTGGTCTGAACGTTGACCGTATAGAGAGGATGTATGTTGGTCTGAACGTTGACCGTACGAAG